TGTATCATTATGACTGACCCCTTAATAAACCGCAAGTTTTCAATATCTTAATAAAGATCAGATTCTTGACCCTTTATATTCCCTCTCATGAATATTTTTTAAAGAGTTTTAAAATTTAAAATTTAAAGTTTAAAAGTTTAAATGGTTATGATCCAGATATTTGAGGGCCACTGTCCCAGTCACAGTCTCACCAGCCTCCTGGGCATGGTGGCTCATGCCAGCACTTTGGGAGACCAAGGCAGGAGGATCACTTGAGCCCAAGAGTTTGAGACCAGCCTAGGCAACATAGTGAGACCCTGTCTCTACAAATAATAATAATAATAATGATTAGCCAGGAGTGGTGGTGCCTGCCTGTAGTCGCAGATACTTGGGGGGCAAGATCGTGCCATTGCACTTTAGCCTACGCGACAGAGTAAGACCCTGCCTCAAAAATAAATAAATAAATAAAATTTAAATGCAATTTAGGACCTATAAAAAAATAAAGGCAAGTCCTAATGGGGGCTTCTAGGGAATTCTGGAAGTTCAATTTAAATACGGTATACTTGATATTATATACGAAGAGAGGAATATATGTATCAGTGATGATGATCCCCCTTTTGGTTTATTGTGTAGTATCTCAGGAGCGGCTTGATCTATTCCTCCCTCTGCCTCCAGTACATACATAGTTGAACAAAAGTTAACAGAAATAATCTCCTTCTTTAAAGTTCGGTGGTTTCAAGCTCCTTTACATGGCATATATGACCTTACCTCCTGACTCTCCTTCACCTACCCGCCTCCTTTATCAATAATTTTCAAACTGTAAGTCATGGCCTATTTGTGCGATTGTGAAATCAGCTTTAGTCACCAGTTATTTTCAGAGCAGTAGATAATAAAATAGAAAAGAGAATGTGTGGACCACATAGCATCATTTTGTAAGATGTAAGTTTGAACAAATGTGGCCTTCTGGGAGCCATCCGCATAAGGAGTTCTTCCCTAGACAACAGCAAATGGAATTTGGGATGACACTCCAGAGGGTAAAATCAATGGCAAAAGGCTACTAGACTTTTTTAATGCAATGTGGTCCTAAGTGAGTACCAAATACCAGAGATAACCAAAGGAGCTGTTTGTACACAGCTTCAAAGAAAATGATCCAGCGTGTGTGCGTGTGTGTGTGTGTGTGTGTGTATGCATGTGTGTACCAGCTCATGCTGGCAGATTCTATTTCTTTCTCTAGGTTATGACCCAGATATTTGAAGGCCACTGTCCCAGGCACAGTCTCACCAGCCTCCTCACCTTCCCTGCCTGCTGTTTCATAAAACTACAGGCCTCTGCATTGGCAAAGGATTTCTCCTCATGAAACTGGAAATCATTGCTCTTTGTTTCTGAGTCCCCTCAAGCATGATTTCCAATGTGAAACCTTTGCTCATCTCCAGGTGATTAGCAATTAGTTACACAAACCTTTTTCACAGCCCCTTCTGTTTCCTGTAAGCTTCTGAAAGGACTGCCCATTGCCTTACTCGTTTTTGTAACTTCAGTGCTTAGCATAGTAAACGAATGAGGGTTCAATAAATACAGTCATGCACTGCATAATGATGAACTGCATATATAATGGTGGTCTGGTGAGATTATAATGGAGCTGAAAAATTCCTATTGCCTAGTGATGTCACAGTGTAACACATTACTCATGTTTGTGATAATGATATATGGCTGTAACTGATTTATGTATTTACTATACTATACTTTTAATCATTGCTACAGTGTACTCCTACTTATTTTATCTATTTATTTATTTTTATTATATTTTAAGTTCTAGGGTACATGTGCACAACGTGCAGGTTTGTTACATATGTACACACGTGCCATGTTGGTGTGCTGCACCCATCAATTCGTCATCTACATTAGGTATATCTCCCAATGGTATCCCTCCCCTTCCCCTCCACCCCACAACAGGCCCCGGTGTGTGATGTTCCCCTTCCTCTGTCCAGGTGTTCTCATTGTTCAGTTCCCACCTATGCGTGAGGACATGCAGTGTTTGTTTTTTTTGTCCTTGTGATAGTTTGCTCAGAATGATGGTTTCCAGCTTCATCCATGTCCCTACAAAGGACATGAACACATCCTTTTTTATGGCTGCATATATTCCATGGTGTATATGTGCCACATTTTCTTAATCCAGTCTATCATTGATGGACGTTTGGGTTGGTTCCAAGTCTTTGCTATTGTGTGAATAGTGCCACAGTAAACATACGTGTGCATGTGTCTTTATAGCAACATGATTTATAATCCTTTGGGTATATGCCCAGTAATGGGATGGCTGGGTCAAATGGTATTTCTAGTTCTAGATCCTTGAGGAATCGCCACACTGTCTTCCACAATGGTTGAACTATTTTACAGTCCCACCAACAGTGTAAAAGTGTTCCTATTTCTCCACATCCTCTCCAGCACCTGTTGTTTCCTGACATTTTAATGATCACCATTCTAACTGGTGTGAGACAGTATCTCATTGTGGTTTTGATTTGCATTTCTCTGAAGGCCAGTGATGATGAGCATTTTTTCATGTGTCTGTTGGTTGCATAAATGTCTTCTTTTGAGAAGTGTCTGTTCATGTCCTTTGCCCACTTTTTGATGGCGTTGTTTGATTTTTTCTTGTAAATTTGTTTAAGTTCTTTGTAGATTCTGGATATTAGCCCTTTGTCAGATGGGTAGATTGTAAAAATTTTCTCCCATTCTGTAAGTTGCCTGTTGACTCTGATGGTAGTTTCTTTTGCTGTGCAGAAGCTCTTTAGTTTAATTAGATCCTGTTTGTCTATTTTGGCTTTTGTTGCCATTGCTTTTGGTGTTTTAGTCATGAAGTCCTTGTCCATGCCTATGTCCTGTATGGTATAGGCTAGGTTTTCTTCTAGGGTTTTTATGGTTTTAGGTCTAACATTTAAGTCTTTAATCCATCTTGAATTAATTTTTATATAAGGTGTAAGGAAGGGATCCAGTTTCAACTTTCTACATATGGCTAGCCAGTTTTCCCAGTGCCATTTATTAAATAGGGATTCCTTTCCCCATTTCTTGTTTTTGTCAGTTTTGTCAAAGATCAGATGGTTGTAGATGTGTGGTATTATTTCTGCGGGCTTTGTTCTGTTCCATTCGTGTATATCTCTGTTTTGGTACCAGTACCATGCTGTTTTGGTTACTGTAGCCTTGTAGTATAGTTTGAAGTCAGGTAGCGTGATGCTTCCGCTTTTCTTTTGGCTTATGGAATGCCTTGGCAATGGCCGCCTCTTTTTTGGTTCTACATAAGTTTAAAGTAGTTTTTCCTCAATTCCTGCGAAAGAAAGTCAATAGCAGCTTGATGGGAATGGCCCATTGAATCTATAATTACCTTGGCAGTATGGCCATTTTCAACGATATTATTCTTTCCTATCCATGAGGCATGGAATTTCTCTCCCATTGTTGTGTCTCTTTTATTTATTGAGCAGTGTTTTAGTTCGCCTTAAGTCCATTCCATCCTTGTAGTTGAATTCTGGGTTAAATTTATTCTCTTTGAAGCAATTGCTAATGGGAGATTACTCCCTACTTATAAAAATAAATTGTAAAATAGCCAGCAAGGCCTTCCGAATATTTCGAAACCACCTATCACAGAGATGACAACTCCATGTGGTTTATTACCTGAAGTCCCTTCCTGTGAGACCAAATACAGAGGTCAAAAATAAATTGATAACCTACCCTGCGTAGCCTAGCCTAATTTGTGTTTGCATCTTAGTTTTAATGAAAACAGTTTAAAGATTAAAAAATAAAAAAATAAAAGTAAGAAAAAAATCTTACAGAAGAAAATATTTGTGTAGCTTGGCCAATGTTGTTTAAAAATAAAATGTTATAATGAAAAGTAATCATGCCCCTAACCAGCTAACTTGGGGGTGAGACTGAAAGTGGAGGATAAGGTTAAGCCTGGAGGTGAGGCTCAGAGCCCCATGAGTGCCACTGAACTCCAGTCTGAGGTAAGATGGAGACCTGTCCTCAAAAAAAAAAAAAAAAAGTCCAAAAAGTTAAAAAAACCAAGTTTATAACTAAAAAATACAGTAAGCCAAGTTAATTGTATTATTGAAGAAAAATTAAAATAAATTAGTGACTAAGTATACATGTTTAATATAAATCTACAGTTGAATGTCCTAGTTCCATTGCTCACTACTTATACCTTATCTGAGAAACTTCAGTCTGAAAGCCCATTCAGGTAAATGTCCTTTGCAGTGTACAAATTTTATCTTTTATACCATATTTGACTGTACCTTTCTAACTGTTAATACACAAATAACTTACCATGTGTACTCAAGTGCCCTACAGATCATCTATACAGTTGTAGCCCTAGGAGGCCTTAGGCCCTACCCATCCTTATCTAGTTGTAAGTAGCTATGCCATCTAGGTTGTTAAGTACACCTGTGATTTTCTCACAATGATGACATCCCCTAACAGCATTCTCCAACCTTATCCACCATCACAAGCAACGCATGATTGTTGAATTGATTCTTTTTTTTGAAGACAGATTATGCTCTGTTGCTAGAGGGGAAGTGCAGTGGTGCGATCCAGCTCACTGGCAACCCTCCCCCGCCTCCAGACTTCAAGCGATTCTCCTGCTCACCCCCTGATAGCTGGGATACAGGTGTATCACCATGGCCGCTAGTTTTCATGTATTTTGAGCAAAGACAGGGGTTCACCATCGTTGCCATCTGCTACACCTGACCTCTGGTGATCCGCCTGCTTTGGCCTCCCAAAGTGCTGGGATTAAAGGCATGAGCCACCGCGCCCAGCCAATTGTTGAATGAGTTCTATGCTCACTTAACTGCTATTTACTTTTTAAACACTGGAAGACTGAAAAGGAATCTCTTAAAGTAAAAGTTTAAAACACATTCTTTCTACCACATCTATGGCCAGGTTGCAAATAAGAAGCACCAAAAAAAAAAAAAAAAAAAAAAAAAAAAAAAAAAACCACACAAAAAACAAAAAAACAAAACAAACAAAAAAACCACACACACACATTCTGCTAAAACTTGGAATTTAATGAACTTTTACTCACTACAGTTATACTCATTTTACATTAAAGTAAAAAAGAAAATAGCCAGGAGAATAATTCATCTCCAGAAAGCAGTTTAAAATTATTGTTTTTATTATTTTTATTTGCTACCAATATTTTTATTGTAAGAAATACAAAAGGTATGACAAATATACAAACTATTTTCTCTTTTTGCTTCATTCAATTTAGCTTTCACATAAGTGAACACACTGGACAGTGATATTTCAACACCAATTTTGAAAAAAACAATGAATTTCATCATCTGACAATAAATACCTAAATTTGCATTCTAGCACCCAGTAAGACATCCAGTTTCCAAAGGATTATTGGTATGCAACCCTCTGAATTTTCTGACATGTTACCTTTGCCACTGCAACAGAAACACCACTGCAGTTCTCCCTTTCCCAGTAAGTCAGAATAAGGGGCAGGCAAGAATGGCTATCTGACTTCAGAAACCCTGGGTCACAAAGCATCCCTTGCTTGAGCTACTTTTAAAAACAGATTTTTAATGATAGGGTACTTCATGAAAGTTTTGGTGGTCCTTGAATGACATATTTTACATTACATATTTACCTATTTTTCTATCCTCCTCTTCAGATGGGAAGGGTCTAGATAAACTGGGCTGTATTTTCATCTGCCTCTTGGGAAGGGAGCAAGAGCATTTAGCTCAGAGCATTCTGAAGACAGTAGCCTTAGAGATAAACTTTCTTTCTTTCTTCTTCTTTTGCTTCCAGAGGGCTTTCTGTGTGGAATGGAGGGATGGTTGCTAGAGTGAGACAGCCCTTCCCCTCTTGCTATGTCTATACCATACCTGAGGCCCTTTTTCTTAGAGGGCAAAAATGTTAGAATAGGTAGGAAAGTTCTTGCTTTCAGAGAGCTGTGCTGCACCCACAGGGTGGACCTGACAGGCCAGTGTGGTAACTCTCAATCTTGTATACAGAGAAAAGAGAAGAAGCAACATCTGATACCAAGTCACCTGCCAACATTCTTATAAGACTGTGTTCCAGGCAGTGAATTTCCACACTGCTTCTTGGGTCTGCAGAACTCAAAGCACCAAAACAGAGCATTCTGTAGCAATATAAGCAAACGGAATGAGAATAATTATGCACCTTTAAGGAACATGCACCCTTATAAGTCTGTACCCTGATATGAAAATAGCAGAATGAGTTTCAAGTATGAAGAAATACAGTAAAAGTGTGGCCTGTAGATGGAGAGAAAACAGCAGCCTGGAATGTGTTTTATATTCTTGATTAGTTTTTCTCTTGGTACCACAGCCAAAACTGAATGCTCTGTACAATGTCTTGGTTTAAAAATCAAGATGCATAAAGATGCTAGAGGCATTTCTAATGGGTGCCATGAGCACAGTCTGTGCCCAGCATTAGGAACCATCTCTAGATGTATGTGGCTAGGTCAAGTTGGGAGTGGTGGCCAGGCCTAGAAAGGCACACTTGTGGTCCGTAATGTGGAGGAGGATGGAGAGCACCATGTGGACAGGCCAGGATGGTAGCAGGGAACACTTTAGTGGTAGAGAGGAAGAGATGCAGGAGACAGAGATGTAGAGGTGTGGGGATGTTGGTCATCTTGGGCTGGTTCACACAGCCTAGATTAGTATCTGATATTCACAATTTTTACATTTCTAGAACCGTGATTTCAAACACAGAAACAAGTCAAATTTCCAAATTAGTTTTTTTTTTTTTTTTTTTTTTTTACTTTCAAAACATTTTCTATTATAAATCAGAAGGAAAAAAGCTTACTGTGTGTGACAGTCTTCCTGAAACCTAAGATAAAGTTTTAACCAGGCCCTATGGCAATGCAGAAACACTAATACATTTTTACAGTGAAAACCTACTTTAACACATCTCAAAATGATAATCCTATAAAACTCTCTAGTTCTAATTTGCACTCTACGGGAACCAATATTATTCTTTTCTTAACACATACTGCTCTTCGATACCAAACACTTGCCCTTTAACCTTCAGATAAAAACCTCAAATACCAAAAAATGCAACATGCTTTTGAGGTGTTGGGAGTAGTTGGTTGTTGAAATCCCTTTTATTTTATAATAAATTATACAGGCAATCCTTGCTTTTTATTACCACGCTGGATTGCTTCTATACACAGCCAAGTTGCCTGAAGCATGGAAACTTGGACTTCTCCATCTGACACGTTCTTGAAGCCTCAAGGTACAAGCTAATATTTCTGCTTCTACAGAAAAACTCTCACACTGCTGTCCTCTCAACAGTACTGCCTGTTCCCACTACTGCACATGACACCTACGAGGGCACTACATCACGTGAGGGAAGCTTCTTCATGAGGGCAGACAAGAGGAGGCACCACCAGGCACTGGTCTCTGCCTGGAATCTATTCCGAGGGCCACCTGGCACAGTTCCTAAATTAAGAAATATCTAAAATGCTTTTCTACCTTTAGTTTTTATTTTTGCTGTATTTTCACACTCTACTATATGCATATTTAATAAAAACTACAAAGTCTTTTACTTTAATTCCTTTACATAATGATAAAACACCTAGATACCCAAAATACTACATCTATATATTCAAATCTACTAGTCATGTTAAAAATGCATGCAGCTTATTTGGGGGCTTAGTCGAATTTTTATTTTCTTAGGTTCATCAATACCATGATAAGGAACGTTAGATGCAAAGTCCTAACACTTTCTGCCTTCAGTTGTACTTTCACAGGACTAGTGTGATTCAGAAATAAATAACATACATGAATAATAATAGAAATAATTTATGCAAATGTAGAACAACTTGAAAAAAATTCCCCGCCTGTCAGGTGCTGTTCCTGGGGATAGCTGATGCTATAAATTCCATGTACTAACTAATATATTTACTACAGGTAATAGGAAAACAAATGAATAAAAAGTGAGGAACTATGATATACATGTGTATATTTTTGCAAACACAGGATCAGAATGAAAAGATATATAATGCACTGGGAGGTTCAAGAAATGTATTACCGCTGGAATCTGTTTTATCATTCAGACTTTAAGGTCAAACTGAGAGTTGTTGGTGATCACAGGAATATTGCTAGCTGATACATATTATTGCATTTCATAAAACTTAAGATTAGAAACTTTCAAGTAAGAGTACAACGGGTATCTTCAGAACTTTAACCTAAGCACATCAACGGAATTTTGCTAGGAACCACAGAGAGTTAGAAATTAAATAATTGTGTGGCTCTTTGTTTGCTGATTAGTGCTACAGTCATAGTTCTTGGCAGTCAATATGTACAGTTATATGTCCCCTTTGAGAAAAACCTACATTTGACAATCCAAACTCCTAAAATTGAGAAAGGGTTATTTGTGTGACCAAACAACTCACACAGAAGATTCCTCTCAACATGAAAATCCCCTGCTACACGAGATAATTTGTTTACATACCTTTAATTGCCTAACAAAGAAAAAGAGAGAAAAGGAAGGGAACCTAAAGAATTGGGAGCTTTTGCCAACTGAAGACAAAGCAGAAAATAAACAACTTTTCAAAACAAAACTTTTCCAGGCATATCTTTCACCATCACATATGTAGAATGATGGAAAATAAAAAAATAAAAAATATTTCCTGCAATTATACATCTTTTCTTAAAAAAAAAAACAAAAAAAAAAAAACAAAAACTGAGCTTAGCGCCTGAGAGATGCAGGGTAGACAGCTTCACAAAGAGCAGCTGCTACCGCATCTCTTTTTACCCGAACTTTCGGAGAATTGTGTTGTACTTATTTATGCACAGAAGACACCCGTTTGCTTCTAGGGACATATTTCTTCCTAAGATTTGCAGAACAGATGCCTCTGAGACAGCAGCAGGGCACTCTGACCTCGGAAAGCAGCCCTCCGGGCCGCACATAATTTCAGGCACCGGCAGGTGAGCGGGAGGCGGGGTCCCAGCCCGGCCTCGCCCACTGCCACTCTCCTGCCAAAGGGGCGGGGCAACGAGGCAGCGCGCCCGGAAGGCTTTCAAGTGGGAGTCAAGTTTTGAACGCGAGCAAATAGGGTTCAGACTGGCCACTGTGATAACAAACCCGGGGGTGGAATTCGGCCTTTCACATAGGGGCTTTAACTGGACTCTAGTTCCTGGGAGTAGAGGGGCGAATGAGGCGGGGGATTTCTCAGTCAGTTTCTGACTGCCCCTAGTGTATGTGGCATTTTGGTTCAGTATGAATTACTGAGACTCATCTGCTTGCCACTCTGGAGCAAAGCTGGGCAGGCACCGTCGCGTGTCTGCCACTCATAAGGAATAAGCTGCTTTCTGTGGTGCTGTGCTAAGGAAACTCTGAAAAATACTGCAATAACCTTCCCTACTAAATTTCAAGTGACACTGTTGTGAGGAAGGTGACTTCTAAAATTAACTTAATCATCTGGGGGATAAGAAGTCTTTAAGTAGACTTGTGAATTTAAAAAATATAGTTGCCAAAAAACTTCAAAAGTGAACAAAGTATATAGACACACTCCTAAGTTGTTATGCTCATATACTTAGACCTATTTTTTTAAAAAATAGAGCTTCTTAGGAATTTACATTTGTGATTCCACAAATGTTAAAATTACCCGGTCTTTTGGTATTTAAGGGCTCTGTTTCAATATAGCAATTCTTCAGACAAAAGTTTTGTCTACCGAATTACTGATGCTACTCATTTTGCTCACCTGATCTTTAAATTAGCATTTTAAAATTTAATCAGTGTTGGAAGGCCACCATGCTAGGGAATATGAAAGCAGCAGAGAGAGTATGAGTGTTTTAACTGGAGCCACTAAAGGAGTTTTATACTTCTAACGAAACTATCCTGTTCACAGATGAGGGCTGCCTTTTTAGTAAGTAAGCCTGTTTTAATCTAGAAAAGTAAGGTAATTGGGTACTTAAAAATTTTTTTTCCTAAGTGAATGACTAGGCTTTCTTTACTTAAATGATCAAAATGGATATATTATCCATCCTTAAGCACAATTTATTTGCAGACAATTGTTCAGAACCTAGGTAACAAGTAAAATATTGAAGTTACAGAACATTATAAAGACTATTAATCATCCCAAAAACGAAGTGCTAGGAAAGAGTTAAATATGCACAGAAAAATAAAATTAGAATGAAATCTCTTTTAGAAGTACCTCTTTAGTCTTCATCGGATTTGTTTTTCTCTAAAAGTGCCACCTTGTGGAATATACTGGAATAAAACAAGAAAGCTCATCTCTTAGGACAGTGTGAATGTTTAGAAAGACTTTTGCAAGAAAAGCCACCTTCCTTTCCTACCATATTAACTTCAAATTGCTGTAATAGTATTTCAGCAGATTCTCGAAAAGAGCCTATATTTATTTTCAGGTGGCTCTTGTTTTCTTCCTAAGGATAGACAAGGTAACAATATGTTGAAGGAAGTCCACTTCTACTCATTTATCTAAATGTTATAACTTCCTGGGAATGCTAAGAAATAGAAAATATTTTGAAAAGCTGTTTGGTACTTCATTAAGAAAATAAACAAAAATTCCCAGAAAGACTAGTTGAGAAAAAACATGTAAAAATTGGACCCCTTCTGTTTCTACATTTCTGTTACTTAACAAAGATCAGAAGATAGAGAGGCCAAAGGATTATTTTTGGTTTATTTTCTGAAAAAGTACAAGATAGAAATGCTTGAGATATAGGTATGTATTAAAACTGGGTTGTGAATTGCATTGATATAGAAAGGGAGTCAATAAGAAATGAAAATGTTAGTTTCTCATGCTTTTGAGGAAAACACCATTTTTAATTACTCTGAGGACTTACATTTCTTGCCAGGCTTTGGTAGCCTCAATAAGTTTTTCCACTGTGGAGAAGGAACATGTAAATATCTTCCTAATTATGTGCCCAAATGTACTTAATGGACATGATAAATGGTTTTGGGTAAGGTTCACAATTTTTAAAAAGTATTGGTGGCATAGGAAACACATGCCTTTTAAAAATTTATTTTTATTTTTTCAATGAACATTCTTAGGCATGTGTAAGAAGTATTGCTTCATGTGGCTGCCTCTTCCCTTGAAATGAGAAAAAAAGTACAGATAATTTAGTTTGCTTGGAACAGCTTCTCCATAACATTTGTTTTTGACCATTAATCCTACAGTTGCCAGATGACCTTAGTATAAATTCTTACAATATATTTGTTCATAAAGAATATATCCTTCAAAATATATATAGCTTTGAAACTACCTTTTAAATACCTTCATTTTCTCCAGAATTTCCTTTATCTATTGCCCACTGTTTTATGAATAATTTTTAAAGCCTTAGAAATCATATAACATCTTTATCTGTCACAATGTGAAACATGCATTCTTTTGAATTATATAAATATCCAAGAGTTTATAATAATATTCCAATATTTTCTTTCCAAGGTAAATATTCTGTAGTTTCTATACTAACATAATTAAGTAATTATGGTGGCATATTAACTTTTAATATTATTTTTTTCCTAGACCCAACTATGCAATTAAAGCCTGCTTTTGGAAAATGTAAGACACTCTCATGTGCTTATCATAAGAATAGTGAAATTGTCACTTAAGAGAAAAGCAGTATTTTAGACAGAAGAATTTTAATATGTTTATGATATTAGGAAGCTTACATAATTTAATTTCCACAATGGAACAATAATTGCCATTACTGACTTTAATAGGCACTACTTTTAAAAGAAGCAGCTACAGTTTCTTAAACACTCACTTTAAATACATAATTTAAAGTTCAAAATGTTTGGTACTATTTAAGAGTTTTCTCATCAAGATGCATAGTACCACATTCTGGAGAGTCAAACTATAAATTTCTCTATAGAAAAGAAACATGCTTTATTTAAGATAGGAACATCTTGTGCCCTCTAAAGCTTTCATTTTTATTTAACACAATGCTGAGATTCTATTCTTAGGTGAATAATTTTTAGCTATTTTTAGTAAGTCACCTGGGGCTAAATGAAAAGTCTGCCATTCACAGTGTGTGCTTCCTGAGAGAAAAATCGTGAGAATACAGGGGGCTGAAATGGCCCCGAGCTTTCTTCCAAAATAGGTTCTTTGCAACTTGAGTTCCCATCCACTTCAAAGGAGGGAGAAAGTGGGAGGCTCCAACCCATTGGGCTCTTACAAGCGCTTGCAAATTGTGTTTTTAAGATTAGGTCCTTTTTATTACCCTTTGCCATGGGATTTCTTATAAAAGCTAAATGGACAAGTTTCTCTTTTACTTTTTTATATGTAGGTTGTTTTGCCTCCACCCTGTGCAACAGTTCCCAAATGCCTGGGCCACCAGAACCAAACATCAAACAGAAACTAGCAGGAACATTCTTGTACTGGTCCTACTATGAAATTCAAACATGATTTCAAATCTGTCACAATATTTTTACTTGCTATGAGCTGCTTCAGTGTAACCTTGGGGCAAAACGCCCTTTTCAGTTCACCACTGCCTAGCTTTTGGCAAAGATGTTTGAAACCATATGTTACAGAAGAATAAGCTGTAGTCACTAAGTTCTTACTCTACTATCTGCTTCAAAATGCCCCAATGGCAAGACTGCTTGTGTTGGATCTAGATTTCAGAAATGGTGAATCTGGACATAAAATACATAAATCAAGAGAGTATTCACTCAAATGCAACAACTACACCGATGGAAGAACTGGGGACAGATTTTTACAAAGTTCAGAGAGCTGAGATGTCCTTTCATTCTGTGTCATCAGAAGATAATGTGCCAACGATTGAATGCCAGAAGGTTTGTGCTTCAATTTTTCTTTACAAGCACTGCCTAGAAATGAGTCAAAAGCACATGCTAGAAATAAAAGTTGAGCTCTCTACTCATTTAAAATTCTAAAGAATGCTGAAAAATTCCAGTTCAGAAAAGCTGCATTTTTCTTGAGTGAACTTATGAAAACAGTTTTACAACAGCAAAAACTAAAGTTATGTTCACTCTAGCCATGAATACTAACCAAAAAGCTCATGATGAATCAGTGCATGAGTTTTTAAACTCAATTTCTAGGCCCCAGCAAAAATGTCTTTGTATTTTGACCCTTGATCAAAGGAAAGGCAGAACTCACTTTTCTATGTGAGACTTTGAGTAGACCTGACCTTGAATGCTATGGATTCATTATATCTCAAGCATTTATAGTACTGACAACACGTAATCAATGTTGTCACAAGGAAAGTAGAAAACATTCGTATGGCCCATCTTCTTTATTATCTTGCTCTAGAAAACAATGTTCCTGTTCCTCAAGCTACTGAATTAGAACAATGTTTAGTACAGCAATAAAAAAGAATAGTTCCCAACCCCAAAAGCTCTTCAGGAGAAACATCTCCTAGTTTCTTCTCTTGTTCAAGATAGTCATATATCATAATAAGCTGCAAAGAATTCAGTACAACTTGATAATGCATAAACATCATCTGAATTATTTTCTGAGTGCAGCAACCTCCATTCTTTGAAAATCCTAACTCTAAACCTGATCTAACTGTTGCATGATCTAACTGTTGCATGCACTATGAGTCAGAAAGCACAGGTGGCTAAACTTTCCAAAAGATACTTTCTGTGTCCTCTGGTTACTAGAGCCAACTGAGCACGAAACCACTTATAAGGCAGAGATGGTATGAAATATAAAGGACTGTAGAGAAAACAGTAAGAGAAAAAGGAAAAGCTGTTTACAATGCCCAGGCCAGGCTGGCTCTGTAGAGAGCAGGAGTGAGCACAAGGCACTAGAGACAAGCACAGCCTGGGGGATGGAGAAAAGATCATTTGATAGAGTAAATGTATAGCCCTAAAACATAGCTAAAGACATACCCTCAGATAAAGACACTGACAATATCTTCTATAAAAATGTAAAACACAAAGTAATAGTTTATAGCAATCTGTGTGCTGGTGATAAAACAAAACAAGATCCTACTCATTATTTAGGTAACAAAAGTGAACACCAGGTAGAAGGACTGCATTAGAGTGAGAACATATGGGACCCTGTTAGGTTTGCAGAATTGAGGCCATAAACCATAATCTGGGACTGCGAATTTATGAAAGGTTCATTGAAAGCAAGCAAACAGGTGGTGCATGGGAAAAGCTTAAGCAATCTGTTATTAGTTATACAATGGTAGCAATATATTTCAGAAGTGCTGGGAGATAGACAAGATGGATACTTTGCCAACAAGGCAGTGTGTGGCAGAAAATACAGTGTAATAGATGAGGAAAATTTCAAGGCCACTCCTGTCTCTAGTTAGAGAGAGAACTACTCTCCAAACCAAAACAGGAAAGAGTTTCTGACAAATTCCTAAAAACAAAAACGAAGTAACAACAAACAACAACAACAACAACAAAAAAGGGAATAAAGGAATTTCAAACCAGGAAATAAAGGCTTTCTATTTTTTTTTTTTTAAATCTATCTGAGATACACTCCCTAAATCTATGGCAAGTAATAAAAAGCTTACAGGGTATTTTCCAAAAGAAATGATAAAGCATGATATCATATAGGTTAAAATAGACTTACAACAAGTAAATTCAGCGTTTTGAAGACTAAATAGAATGCATGCACATCTCTTAAAATATACTAGAATTTTTTTCTCCTTTTTGCTGTGTGTATAAAACTTCACCTTTTACTGCTAGCAAATTTACTGCTTTTGGCCAGAAAAGAAATGCTGAGGACATGGACATGGGGTTAACTTTCTAGGGTTAACTTTCTAATTTGAGAAGACCATTTTGGTGGATCACCTTCAGTGAACAAATGCCTGTTATTTATCGATCACCTTGAGTCTTTAAAACTGAATCGTTCTTGCCGTTTACAAAAAGTAACACTTTAAGAGATCACAGAATCTCTCTCACACACACACACACACACGCACACATACTCAAAAGTACCAAATCAGGCCCGGCAGCTGCAGAGAGATTACATCATAACTCAGCTGTGCCTGGATTACCCACTCCACACTGGCAGCATTCAAGGTTAGAAAAATGAAATGGCAGCACAATTGGTCAGCAGCTTCTCTTCTTCTGGAATTTTTCCAGGTTCTTGAAACAAACAGACAAACAAACAAACAAACGAACATAAAGCTGCAATCACTCTTGCATTGATTTCAAAACAGTAAACTAGGCGGTTTCCTTGGAGAAGCAGAGCCTGTCCAGAAGACGGCAGCTGGAAGGCCTCCAGACAGGCAATCCTCCACAGCTCTGCAGGGCTTGCTAAGGGGGACCCTTGAGCCACCAAGGGTGTTCTCCGCAGGATCAGCTTAAGGCAGCTGCTGAGGCCTCAGGCTGTATTCAGCTCCGAGGTGTTCTGGCTGGGCGGCAGGTGGGAATCCAGGTTTTCTTTGCACCTCTCCAGGTCCTGGAAGTATGGGTGAGACAGGGCACTGTAGGCTGATATTCTTTTGGCTGGGTTAAATGTCAAACACTTCTGTAATAAAGAAAAAAATAATTGGTTGATATACAACACATCAATGTAGATAATGTACTTACAGAGTTATCCCTTTATTCACTGTCATGTTAAGCATATCTAGAATGGGAATGAGTATTTATTTAAAGGGACACTAAATAATATGGAGACAGTACTCACATATATCCCTAATGTATAAAATGCCCCTCAGGAGAAGACCCTTTTGGGTGCCTATGGGCTGTTTCCTGCCCAGGATTTCTCTGTAAGCCATTAAAGTATGCATATAACTTTATTTAGTAATTCTTCCAGTGCTAGCAAACTTAGTGCTACAGTTGGAGTCTTCACCGCAACTTCTTACCCTGCCCCAAGGTTACACCACTCAGAGGCAGGGATATCTTCCTTCTAATTAATAACAAGGTGCCACAAGGCTAGCAGTAGCTCTCTCAGGGGACCATTAGATTCAGTTTGAGTCACTAAACTCTGTTCCAGGCTGACAGCTCAAGTGTAGGGCTACCAAAGTGAATGAGCTGATGCTTGCACTTAAGAAGCTCCTGGTCCTAGTCAAGTGGTTTGGGCAGTTTGGCTGGGCTACTGAGGTAGAAGGTGAAAGGAGGGAAAAGGAAATATTTGCAGTAGCAGCAGTCTCTGTTCCCAAACTGTCCATACCTAAATTAGAATGTGTCCCTAATTTCAGTCTCATTTCCACCCCTACTTCAGGTAATCTTGTTACTCAAATCCTCCTCCTCTCCTTCCACCAACGCCTCCTGCTGGGTGCCTAGCAGGTGGCAAGCACTAAATAGTGATGAGTAAGACCTCCTCATTGCCCCAGGAGTTCACAAGTAGCAGGAAAGCCACATCGGCTTCTCCATCCTAAAGTGAACTGAGTATATGAAATGTCTGTGCATTCCAGTCTTCTATGTAATTTACAGACTTTACATTATCATGGTTAATGGAAGAACTCTTCCATTTAAGAGGGCTGCATAACCATGGTATTAATAGGACTCCTGCCAACAGTCCTAGTCAGGTTCCAACTGGATTAGGGACCTCTCTAATATTGCATCGAAAGCTTAAAAACAAATACAAACAGAAAGTTCTATGTGTATTTCAGGCAAATTCTTGGGTCCTCTGAAATCTGATTTATCCTGAGCTCCCCTTCAATCTATGGTTGCTAGCCTCCCTATAGGATCTTCTGAACATCAAGAGCTAAAGGGCAAGTGGAAGAAAGAGCTTGTTTGTAGAAAGGTTCCAACTGTCTCTTACAGCAATAAATATCTCTAGAAAAGCTTTGCAAGGGCTGAATTCCCAAAGGACTGGAGAGCAGGGGCAAAATTCCTGATCCTGAGTTCTCTTTTCCCAGAGTCTAAGAAGGAGAAAATTAGGTAATGGCATTAGGAAAGGAAGCAGCTAATTTAATCTCCAGGACACAGGAAAGAAGAGAAAAGAGCTGTGGGAATACGTTCACGATACAGAGACGTGTCTCTAGAGCATTATGTGAGAGGAAGCCCTTTCCTCACAGCTACATTGATGGCTTAAAGCTGGGAAGAGGGTGGAGAGAAGGAGAACGACTTAGCCAAATGTGGGGGTGCAGGAGAATCTCAAGTTGGAAGTCTTAATACACTTTGTCCTATAGAAATATGGTTAAAAACAGGTGTTTAAGTTCTATTATTGCTCTACTTTAGGAACAAGGTTGCTGGGTTGAGAATTAATTAAAAAACCTTGTGTTAATAATATTGTTTCTGCAAGAAAATTTAATTTAATTGCCAAATAGTTTACTCATAAAATGAGCTTCTGGAATCACAACTTAGTCAAGAGTTAGATACTATGGTAGATCGGATAACTTTTAGTACATTCCCTCTTTTCTCTCCCCTCTCACCATAGGGGGAGCATTCTTTCCTCCATTCAAGTTGGCCTTAGGTATGGAACTTGCTTTGGCCAATGGAACATGGGCAGAGTGGCGGGTACTTCTTCCAAGTATGGACCTTCAGGGGCGTTGTATATTTCTGCTTGCCCTTTTGGAACATCCACCTTCTATCATGAGAAAAACATGCCCCAGGGAGCTGCTGCCTCTCTGGCATGGGCCTCAGAATGAGACACATGGAGAAGACCTGTGCTTCACCCATGGGCAGAAGCAGATCTCAAAGGCTGTTAATTCAGGAGGTAAAGGATACACTCATTACTCATTGGGTTTCAGACATCAAGAACAGCCCAACAGGTACACTTTTCCACCTATTGTTCTGGCCTCCAGGTATAGAAAATTAAGTATATGGTCGAGTATTATGAGTCTCAAACAGAGCACAGAAGTCCTTATTTTCAGCGAGGTATTTTATATGTGCCTGGCACACTAAATACTTATTAAATAAATCAGCAACTAGAAGAAGTATTGCTATATAGTTCTTTTGGAAAAACATCTCCCCAAAGTTGTGGATATTTAACAAAAGGCACATTAAAATGACAAATTACTTAAAGTAGCATGAAACTGTAAGCAAGGAAACATAATATTTACTTCTAAAGAAACATATGTCAAAGTGAATTGAGAGGCTTCTAAAGCTGCATTGAAATAAACATTCAAAGATGGCAGATTTAAAAAAATGTGGATCAGAAAGACATTCCAGAATCAAAAGCCACCAGCTGCTACAAGTGTGAAAATGAAACCTCTGGAGGGACTGTCGCCTCCTGCCCCACGTGGCTGTGGCATGTGATGCCGATAGCAGCTACTGAACTGATATTTGTGACCACCACCCAGTCTGGGTAGGGCAGGTATCTCACTGGCACAGTGCAGACCAGTTTGACATCACAAAAACTTACCAGAAGTAGGTCTTTGCCTAGTTCATCGATATCTGTTACAAACTTCTCAATTGGTTGGGCAGATTTTGAATGAAAAGCCTGCCTGGGAAGGGCAACATCTCTAGGCCAGTCTTCTTCTCCTGGGAGTCCAATTACGCTACAAAAGAACCACACATAGACATGAACATTAGCTGCTATGCAGAAGCTGTTTTCTTATCAATTTCCAGAGAAAGGCAAAATCTAAGGGGGAGGCATGGGGGAGACAGTCCCAGGAGACCTTCACTTTATGACTGGCAGGGTCTCTGTTTATCTCTGTCCTACCGCAATATGGTGTCATGGGGTAGAGGGTAATCTCACAGAAGAATTGTAAAATTCACTGGGAGGAGATAAGAGATTGCTCTGGTAGCAGACACTAAATGTAAGGGGTGATGTAGAAATAGAAAATATATTGCCAGGCAGTAAGCCCTGACTTAGTGACAAAGCAGGACTTATTGTATTCAGAGGAGACCCATACTAGTATATACATTCCTTAATGTCCAAGAATGCTTTCTGTGTTTTGATCGAATGTCCCAGTATTGGCATGATTTTTATGATGCTCATCCAACATGGTTTATTAACATATCAATTTGGTTGCATTTTTGGTTAAAGAGTAATTCCCTAAATAGTCCTGCATTATTCAAACACGATTTTATAAAAGGAGGTCTGTGGTATTCCAAAGTGAGCAAACAGTAAATTAAAAGACTATCATTTATATTTCCCCTGAAAAACATTCTGGGATCAGAAATGTGGAAAGAACAGTAAGTGATAAAAAGCACAGGCTTTGGAAATAGGCAGGCTTGGGTTCAAATCCTGCACCTGCCACTTACTGGCAGGTAAGGACAAATTACTTAACATCTATGACCCTTAGTGTCTTTATGTATACAATGATAATAACTTACAGTTGTAATGAGGATCAGTTATACTTTATTTAAATTTATAGTAATATATAAATTTATAATTTAAAGTATATAGCACAGCACCTGATACACATTACACACAGTCAATATCAATCAATACATTGTCAATTATTATTATAGTTAGAAAATGTTGTTATTCATCCAAGATGCATAGGAAATACATCACTATCACACTTAAAATATGAACTGCTTATATCCTATTTATGTATAACTTAATATTCTTTAAAAATATTAATAGGTCAATGGACTTACATAACTTATATATTGTATAGACATTATTTATAGTTTACATATAGGTCATAAGTAGGTTTGAACAGAGAAAATCAGAGGATGCAGGGACTTCTTTCCCATACAGACTGTATAACTCTGAACTAAAAATAAAATCATAGTTTAGTGGATGGGTTATATAGCTATTCAAATACCGGACCAAATAATGTTTTTTGTTTTTTTTGTTTTTTTTTGAGACGGAGTCTCGCTCTGCCGCCCAGGCTGGAGTGCAGTGGCACAATCTCGGCTCACTGCAAGCTCCACTTCCCGTGTTCACGCCATTCTCCTGCCTCAGCCTCCTGAGTAGCCGGGACTACAGGCGCCCGCCACCACACCTGACTAATTTTTTGTATTTTTAGTAGAGACAGGGTTTCACTGTGTTAGCCAGGATGGTCTCAATCTCCTGACCTCATGATCCGCCCGTCTCAGCCTCCCAAAGTGCTAGGATTACAGGTGTGAGCTACTGTGCCTGGCCTGGACCAAATAATTTTAACTACAGTTAGAAATTAGGGTCTTCTGCTTGGCCTATACTTGCTGGGACTAAAGCCCAGGAAGAGGTGTTCTTATGAATATACTTCCAGATTTCAGGAAGATGTGACACGTCCCAAGATCTGTAGCACTTTATATCCCCTTCCCTCACCTACACAGAGCCCAGGCCACAGACTTCAGCTGGGAAGATACCCCTGTCATCACGGCTTCTCTGCCTGGATGTCTGGGGAAAGACACTGTAATTCTGCCTCTATCAGGCATACTGAGAGAGCTACATTATTGAGGCAAAGGAAGATTAATGGACATATTTACTAGAACCAATAAACAGAAATAACAATGAACAATATATAGATTTGTTCAATAGTAAAGCCTACAATAGAAGTTAAAAAAAAAAAACACCAAAAATACCACTATTAATTATGAAAAGAAATGCATGTGTAAGTAAGTGTCTGGATACAATGGGACAGGGCAGAGGAGGGAATGAAGAATGTTTGTTAGAGATCTTTTAAAATTTCCTTTCATTCTTTTTTAGTTTTCAGGTCTATGTATATCAATATTTTTGTGTATATTCACCAGTCACCTAGAAATTGATTACATTAATAACTCCTAGAAATATTTAAAATGTTTTTATTTGTGGCTTTGAATATACCTACATTGAGTTAAATCTTGCAAGTATATGATCAGCTGAATGCCAAAAGCCTTCAGAGAAACAGCACGTCTCTGTATGTATGCATGTACATGTACACATAACTTTATATAATTTTATATAAATTTTAAACAAACACATAACAATTTATATATATATAACTTTAAGTCTATCACCTCCTCTGATTCCTGTAACAATCTCCTAAGACATATAAGTCAGGTGTTATTAGTCTCATCTTATAGATGGGAAAACTGAAAATGAGACATAAAATGAACTGCCAAAGTCACAGATAGCGCGCTCATTCACAGAGCCCAGAGTGAGTTCTCTTCTCTCTATTCCAGTATTTGATTTTCATTTAGCTATGACATTGTTTTTTAAAATGCTCTAAGATGTCACAGGCTAAAACTATTGTTTCACTTTTAATACTTGCTATTACTTGAAGGCTTAAATCTTCCTAAACACAGAAATGTTCTTCCCTTTAACAGTATGTGAACATGGGCCAGGTGGGGTGGCTGTAATCCCAGCATTTTGGAAGGCTGAGACAAGTGGACCACTTGAGCCCAGGAGTTCAAGACCAGCCTGGGCAACATGGTGAGACCCCGTCTCTATAAAAAATACAAACATTAGCTGGGCATGGTGTCCTGTGCCTGTAGTCCCAGCTACTTGGGAGGCTTAGACACGAGAATTACTTGAGCTCGGGAGGCCAAGATCGTGAGCCAAGATCGTGTCACTGCACTCTAGCCGGGACAACAGGGCAAGAGCTTGTCTCCAAAGAAAAAAAAAAGAGGATGTGAATATGGCTTTCCTTAAAAAAAAATTCAATTTCATGTTCAATATGAACTTTTATGGCCCATATACATGTGTTGTGAAATTCTGATAGGACCATTAAAAAATGCTTGCATTTAATTCCACTATTTGGACAGCTGAATATAAGCCTTAAAAGTTGACATTTATACTGGCAAGCCTGACAGGGCACAAAATCTATAAATGGCAGTGATGGTGGAGACAGAAATATTTTTTCAAGTACTTCGGCAGTGACACTAGGGTGCAGCATTGTCCCTCTTCTCCGGCAAGGTAATCCATTCAGAGGAAACAGAACATAATTTTGATGAAACAATGCCAGAAACCACAGAGTAAAATCTAAAGGCACAAACCATAGAACTCTACAGCTTCTTTTCTGTTGGCAACCTACGATTGTCAGGACTTTGCCAAAAGTAGAACTGGCTTTTCCTTGGAAGCAGGTCAAATATGCTGGTCAGATGTTCCTTCTGGTCCATTTCACTGGCTTCATGTACTAAGGGAGTACTAAGAATGTTAACAAGATTGCAGACACCAGTGCTGGAGGTAGACACAACTGTCAGGTAGTATAAATAAGGGAAAGAAGGTGATGACCTTCAAGGCCTGGCAAGCTGACTTCAGTCAAGATTCTCTTTCCTTTTAACAGAAGGTCATTAGTATGTCTGATTTCCCCAGTTTCCTCTTTAAGATCACATGCACACAAAATATATTCAACAGTCATGGGGAAAATAGATGGGAGTTCATCATTGACTGATTTAAGAACTTGCCATTCAGAAGCAGGGGTAACATGAAGGCTTTGTGTTGAATTTATCTACTGTATATGGAGTGGTCAGTAGTAGGAGCAGTATCATCAGCTGCCCTGGACCCAGGAAGCCCACAGGCATAAAAAACTAGCAAATGTTATTCAGGCCTTAAGCTACTATGTTCTGACTCAGCAGTGGCACTGGCACTAACAGAGGTCTAGCTGCTTCCAGTCACTAAAAGCACAACATCAGGTTCCAGTTTTATTAACTGTTTTAAGTAGTCATGCTTGAGTAGACAGTGCTGGTATGAAAATCTATTCTTTAGAGGTGCTTTTTTTTGCAGTCTTACAGACTTCGAATTTCATAAAAATACTGGGATTCCTATAAAATGTCACAGACCAAAGATTAGGGCTATTTTTGGTCTAGAACTCCCACTTTCTTCCTACTCCACTCCAATTCGGATGGGCCTTGCAAACCCAAAAACTCAAAAAAGGATGCCACACTGCATGCTTTGTGAGAAGAAGCGCCCCAGTTACATTCTAGAAACATGAATACATACATGCCCTCACATGCATGAACATGCAGACATGAATGAAAATGTAAATCATCAAGGAGCTATGTAACTGAAACCCAAGAATGTTGAGCACCAGAAAGGATCTTATAGAGAATTTAAGTCAGAGTTTCATTTCTCAGATGAAGTTAAGGAACCAAAAGGTTAAATAATTAATGATGAATTCTTTTTTTTTTTGAGACAGAGTCTCGCTCTGTCCCCCAGGCTGGAGTGCAGTGGCGTGATCTTGGCTCGCTGCAAGCTCTGCCTCCCGGGTTTACGTCATTCTCCTGCCTCAGCCTCCTGAGTAGCTGGGACTACAGGCGCCTGCCACCAATGATGAATTCTAATAACAACAGTAATAGATAACTTTTAAAGCACTTACTATGTGCCAGCCACTGTGTAAGCCCTTCATGGGGTGTGTTACATGACTTTCTCAAAGTTGCAGAGTTATTTTGCCAAAGACTCAGGGTTCTCATTTTCTGTTTTGGTGCTCTGAAGAAAAATGAGATGTGTAGCATACCATCCTTCGCCCAGGAAAACAAAACAAAACAACGCAGAACCAACCTGGGTGACCAAGGATACTCAATGGGGACAGGAAGCTCACTGGACAAGGATGGGTACTTTGCCACCAGGCGTCCCATCTCTGATGGTGGGTGCATTTGAAATGACCACAAGCAGAGAATGTATTTGAACTAAAGAACTGGAGCTCAGCCACATGAAGAAAGAGGAGCAGCAAAAAGATCCACACAAGCAACATACAAGCTTCCAGAGCAGAGCAGTTAGGGCTCTGCATAAAACGGCACTTCTACCATGTCTCCACTCACCACACAAATAGTAACACTGTCTGCAGCAGCTGCTTGAAGTAAGAAAGACAAGAGATAAACACTTGATATGCATGTCAAAGGAAAGTCACTGTAAATGTTTTAATGCTATAGACACTGATGTAAAATTACAGTTATTACTTACTCCAAGATTTTTCCTAGTTGATCGACATCTGAACTTCCACGAAAAAGAGGCCTAAAAGAATAAAGACACATTTTAAACAAGAAATGTCAGATTACATTTCAATCATATTTGCCATTATCATTGTTTAACAGGAAGCAAAATATTCTTTATGGGTTGGGAAGAAGTGAAAAAATGGAGACATTTTTCCTTTGGTAAGTGAAGGTTTTCCCTGCATTTCACTTATGGGTAAGGATCTCTCATGAATACCTGGTGGTAGATGAATTCCATGTTTTACAATCACGGGCATTCTATTTGCAGTCATTGTAACAACAGTGCTACCATCAAATTCAGTTCCAGGTTTCAAAGATCTGCTTAACTTCGTGACAAGGTGGAACATATTACCATCCTAGTCTCGAACTATAAATAGGTAGGATTCTTTGAAATTTCTCAGAGCACTCTTTCCATACTACTCTGCTATCAGAGTATTTCCTCATGGGTCTCTCTCCTTTCATTTGTCCTCAATGCTGCAGTGAACCACCTCTGGGTCTATATTTCTAATTATACCACTTTTCTTCCTTCCAATATTATGGCAGCTAACTATTACACGTTCTAAATCTTAACTCTGGGCTTTAGAAGCAATTGTGTCTGCTTCGAACACACAGCCTTCCTCGTCTACATTGAGCATTTAACTGGCAATTTAAAAAGGTCATTTTGTGACATTTCTGGCATTTCCCTAAGAAGAGCAAGTAGCCCCTTGAGGGAGGAGACTTCTCTAGGTTTCCCTATAAATCCCTGCCATACAGCTTTACTCTGACAGATGCAGTTACTAAACATTTAATTTGATTTTGCATACACCTATGGTACAAGTAAACGTTCCTAATTCCTTCCTCAACAAATGCCATAAACAGGTAATTTTCAACACTAATGTATTAAAATATTTGTAGTCTATTATCAGGTGTGATATTTCTTTTTATATTATATATCAAATTATAGAGCCTTAATCTTGAATTCTTAAATATTTTCTGTGCACAATAAATGAACTCACTATATATGGCCATATATGGAGAATCCTGCAGTCATAGCATTTCAGTGGTTAGAATACACCTTAATGTTTCTCAACCATACTTTCTATTCATGTTACTATTCCTGAAAATAATTATTTCCAAATGCAGTGGAAAAGAATTTACTTATGGCAAGGTGATGGGCTGAATTTTTCTTCCCCCAAATTCATGTTGAAGCCCAACTCCCAAGATCTCTGAATTTAACTATATTTGGATATAGAACCTTTAAACAAGTAAGTAAAATAAGACAGGGTGGGCCCTAATCCGATCTCACTGTTTTCCTTGAGAAGAAGCCATTTGGACACAAAGAGATATTGGGGTGCACATGCACACAGAGAAATAAACATGTGAGAACCATGAGAAGGTAAGCCTAAAAGAGAGCCCTCAGAAGAAACTAAACCTGCTGACACCTTCATCTTGGACTTCCAGCCTCCAGAACTATGAGAAAATAAGCTTTTGTTGTTTAAGCAATCCAGTCTGTTGTGGCAGTCCTATAAAACTAATATAAGCCACCCGCACATCACTAATGCAGCCAAATTCATAAAGAATCATGCAGTTGGGTTCTAAAACACATCTTGACAGGTCTTAAAAGATGACAAGGTGAGAAGTCCAAATTTTTTCTAAAACTTCCAAAAAAAGGCAAAAAATGGAATCTTAACCACTATAATTTATTGAGCATGAATGTTGTATCTGGCTTTGTGCCAAGTGCCCCAAACATAATCTCACTTAATTCTCACAAAAATTCCAGGAGAAATGTAGTAGTATAATCATCCCTATTTTCAGATGAGGAAACTGCCTATTGGAGATGTTACATGATTTAATTAAGGGCACGATATTCCCCTCTCCTTTTATTTCTTTTTAGTTAACATGTTGATTTTTCAAGAAATTTTTTTTGATTGGGGAAAGGGCCTATTTGGTGATGGACTGTCCTGGGAGTGAATCTCTATTTAGCTGTTTCTTCCTATATGATCTTAGGAAAGTCTCTTAATTTCTTTGACTTAGTTGCTTCATTTGTAAAATGGAGATAATGACACTTACCTCATAGGATCAACTAAGTGAGATTATGAATATATCTCAGCTACTAGAATGCCCAGCTTATAGCAGAGTTACAATTAAGTGGTAACTAAACACACACACACACACACACACACACACACACACACACACACACACAGAGAGAGAGAGAGAGACAGAGAGACATCTCTCTTCTTCCTGGCCAATATCATACCCAGATAGTCACGTAAAGTATTTCAAATGGTGAACTAGAAAGGAAGGAACCATTTGCCACTATGTGGTGAGGTCCAAGTCACATTTAAGTCTAACAGTCTTTCCTCTGGGGTCACTATATATTGCTTACATGTTACAGCTCTTACAACTTTATCAAGAAAAGAATTTTCTAAAGGATGAATGCCACATTTTTCAATAAAGATTAATTCTGAATTGGCAATATCACTTCCTGTATGCAGTTTTGCAAAAAACAAAAACAAAAACAAAAACACACACACACACAAACCCTCACTAAGTATTCAAGCCTATCAGTGAGATGAATTTTCTCAGGTCAAATTACCAAGGGGACTAAGTTTCAGATTATATGCCTTTTTAAACAAACAACTAAAAAAATGCATAGTATCATTTGTAATCTCAGTAACAGTGGCAAACAACATTTAGAAGTTGGGTGTGTTTTTTTAACAGATGAGAAGCATATACTGGTATGTCTGTTATAGAAAGGAAATGATTCATGCATAATGGGGGATGAAAGATTTCATTTAGTCACAATACTTTCATTGTACTCAAAAGACAAGGAAGTCATGGGTTAACCTATAGAACACCTTTGTAACCTGTATTTGACCTGCAGCTATGTCTTGACGGCTATTTTTCTTGATTAGTGGAGGAATTTTCCATGTTCATAAAGTGATCTTTCAAAAAATATTACTGGATAATATCTATTATTTTATACTCATTCCCATATTCCATTCTAGAGTTGTTATCCGTTAAGTTAAAATTGTTAACTTATCACCTTGCAATTACCACCTATTCAAATAACTGGATTAAGCAGAAAATCAATTAACTGATCTACTTAGTACACACTAATTGACTGATCACCCACTAAGTACATATGGCTGTAATCGGTGCTGGGAGATACTAAGAAATACATATATATAAAATATAAATTTTAAAGTATATAATTATAATGTATGTAATATATATAATGTAATAGTCATATGATATACATATAATATGTATTTATACATTAATAATAGGAGACAAGGAGACAAGATATACAGATGCAGAATCACTCAGTAGAAGTTTACCTCATTTTACCAGTGGGAGACAGAAGTCGCGGTCATCATTTCATCTTAATAGAATGTTAGGAGGTGGTTTGATTAACTTTCTTTTACAGAGGAGAAGTAAAGTAACATCTAAGGAAACACAGATGAGTATGTGGCTAAGCTGATCTGTCTGACTTCAATGAACAGCAATACAGAAGAAGTGTTTTAGAAAGACTAATTTGGCAGGGGTTTACTGAGTCAGTAAGAGGGGATGGAAACCAAGCCAAGGCGGTCAACTGGGAAGTCACTGTACAAGTAAGACGACAAGGGCCTCAACTAGGTGGGACAAGGAAATGGCTAGAGATGCAAAGACATTTAGAAGAAGATGATCAGAACTTGATGGAAGTCTGAACATGATTTGAAAGGAGAAGCATGATTTTAAGTTTGTATTATATTATTAGTAAAGACTGGCAGAATGAGATAGATGGAGGTGGTGGGGAGAGGAGATTAGAAGGTAATTGACTTAGTTTTAAATATTTTCCTTTTATAATAAAATTATATAAAACATTTCACTGAAATTTGGGAATGAATAATCTGCAAAAAAGGTAGTTAGGCATACCTAACTGTATATACCCAAGAGCATTAACATGCAGGTTCACATAAAAACTTGTACATGAATGTTCATAGCAGCATTATTCATAATAGCCAAAAAGTGGCAACAATCCAAATGTCCATCAACTGATAAATGGATAAACAGAATGTGGTATGGACTTATAAAGGAATATCAGTGAGTCATAAAAAGAATGAAGTACTGAGACAACATGGGGGACCCTTGAAACCATTATGCTCAGTAAAAGCAGCCAGTCACAAACGACCACACATAATATGATTCCATTTATATAGACAATGTAAATTTATAGGATCAGAAAGTAGACTGGTTGTTGCCTGGGACTAGGGGATTTGAGGGAACTGACTGTAAGCAGACTGAAGGTCTATTCCCCTGAAAATTTCCTGTGTTGAAATCTTAATCCCTAAGGTGATGGCATTAGGAACTGGGGGCCTTTGGGAGGTAATTATGTCAAGAGAGGGATTAGTGCCCTTATAACAGAGACCCTGGAAGGCTCCCTTGTCCCTTTTGTCATATGAAGACACAGCAAGATGACGATCATCAATGAATGAGGAAATGAACCCTCTCCAGATACTGGCTCTGATCTTGGACTTCCCAGCCTCCAGAACTATGAGGAATAACTTTTTGTTGTTTATAAGCCAATCCAGTTCATGGTATTTTGTTAGCAACCCAAGCTGACCAAGACAGATTGCTAATGGGTATGGTGTTTCTTTTCGGGGAGATAAAAATGTTCTAAAATTGATTGTGGTGATAGTGGCACAACTCTGTGAATACGCTAAACTGAAAAAAACACTGAATTGTACTATTTATATTGGTGAATTGTGTGGTTTTATCAATTATATTTTGATAGATCTGTTAAAAAAGGTGGTTAAGAAATTATATTTCCAAGCAAACATTACAGATTCAGGAGGAGGGTAAAAAAACTGCTAAGAATTTGGAACCCATCCACACACACACAAAAATAAATAATAAAAAACTGCTAGGAAAACTGTTAGGTCTACATATATGAAAGGCTTAAGCACACGGTATTAAAGTACAGTGACAAACATTTTACCATATATTCAATCAAGTACTTGTCTGGAGACATGTGCTCCACAAGTTTCGATAATCTAT